AAATATTTATTAAATAATAGTATTTCTAAATTGTCTATCCTAAATATTTATTAAATAGTAATAGTATTTTTCCATTCATAAAACTTATATTTAATATTTTTTTAAAATAAAAATTAAATTTTTTCCATTCAAATCAATAAATAGTTTGTATTATTTACCCTAAATTAAAACTCTATGAAGTCGGATCAATATGCATTATTCTAAATTCATTTTCAATACTACACGCTTGTGATTGATATCTCGGGCCAATCTGCCAAATCTATGATAGCACAACTCTACTCACAATGTACAATTTCGGAGCTCTGGTGCCGTCTCCACCGATCTAAGTTTGGCCGTTGTCGTTCCTTGTACGGTGTTGGAAATAATTGATGAACAGCTCTTTTTTGGCCGTCAACAGCTCCGGAGAGGTGGGAATCCAGAAATTTAAGAAGTGGTCCCTGCAGCATGGATGCTTACGTCTTGCAACAGAAAAAAAAAATCATATCAAGTGGGACATGTACACATCTGTAGAGTTTGTTCCCATCTTTATATTTAAGTCATGATCTTTCTTTTCTTTAAGGTCGTGACGTTTATGCATGCCTGACATTCTACATGTGTCCACATGCAATTGGTTGAAAGAGTCGTAACCAGAGAAAGTGTTTCTCAATTTCAGATATTTTCAGTGCCATTTGATTTACGGAAACAAACCATAAGCTAGCCCAGATGAAGATTAAACACTTAAAAAATAAAATAAAAAATTCTTTCTCTAAATGTAGGTTAATCAAATATCTCATAATTATTTTCTGGCAAAAGGTGTAAATTATCTCAAAATTATTGTGTTGAAGTAAATTATTATTTAAAAAAGTTGTTCACATAATTTGTTATATGAAATTTTTTTTTTAAGATATCAACTCAAATTTAACGATTTCTATTAAACAATTGCTCGTGAATTCTAACAAAAAATTAACAGTAATTGTTAAATTTAAATTGATTTTTCAAAAAAAAATTGAGATAGTAAATAGCATTAATAGTTTTTTTAGATGAGGATTTATTTTAGGAAAATGATATATGCACACTGACTCTTTACATCCTTCGTCACACACTCACCCATCTCCGTTTATCTCTGTTTCTCTCGTTACTCCTCTTCACTTAGCACAACTTTCCTCTTCACTTAGCACAACTTTCCTCTTCACCCAGCCTTGGTTCTTTGATTTTCTTTCCCTCTCCTCCCCCTCTTCTTCCTTCTTTTCCTCGCTTCGACTTGGGTTCTGCTCGAGTTTTGCATCTGCATCTAGGTTCTTGCAGAACTCGATCTGGGTTCTGCAACAAAACTTAGATCGACTTCTGATTCTTGTTGGAGTTTTTCCTCAACAAAGGAGTGTGGCTTGAACAAGGGGTCTAATGCTGGAATTGGGAATTGATTTTTGCCTTAGGTAACCTTCTGAAC